ACCAACTTTTATTGAATATTTGGATAGTATACCATCATTTAATCGTAGTATCGATGGTCCACTTCGTATGCCCATTGTTGAACGATATAAAGTATAGATTGTTTTTCTTTATTTTTATAGTTTAAACTACTTATGTGTATTTGTAGGAAATGGGCACTATTGTTATGGGAAAAATTGAATCAGGATGTTGCCGTGTCGGTGATCGATGTTTACTTATGCCAAACCGAACACGTGTTGAAGTTACAAATATCTATTACGAAGACATTGAAACTGATTCTTGTGTTTGTGGAGAAAATGTTAGACTTAAATTAAAAAATGTTGAAGAAGAAGTACATTAATTTTCTTCTTCTATACTAATATTATTATTATTATTGTTTAAATTTTTTAGGAAATCTCAATCGGATTTATTCTTTGCGATGCTCAACAAGAACCATGTGGAGTTGGAAGAGTTTTCGATGCACAAGTAAAATTTAACGTAAAAAAATATTGATGAAATATATTTCTTTTGTGTGTATACTAGGTTGCTATTCTGGAACATAAATCAATCATATGTCCAGGTTATTCAGCTGTTCTTCATATTCATGCAGCTGTTGCTGAAGTTCAATTAAAAAAATTAATAACATTAATTGATCGTAAAACTGGTGAAAGAACTCAAGAACATCCAAGATTTATAAAACAAGATCAAGTAGCCATAGCACGATTTGAATTATCACAATCCGGGCAAGCTATTTGTATGGAACCATTTAAACATTTTCCTCAACTTGGTCGATTTACGTTACGTGATGAAGGTCGAACCGTTGCTGTCGGAAAAGTTCTTAAGATCATTGAGTGAAGACTTTTCGTTTTTCTCTTTTTGTTGTTAGTTCATGTTTATTCTTACCAAAAGAAAACAAGATAAAATGTCACTAAATGAGATTATTTGTTATATGCATCTCGTTCTAACAAGAATCTAAATAAACATTTTTTTTAGCATCGATATTCATTATTTCTACGAATGAAAATTATCAACATGTAGTACCAAATTGAAAGGAAAAGAAAAATGATTCAATTAGGATTATGTAAGAACTCGCGACATCTTTTTTTATACATGATTCAAATAAGATTAATCGGAATAGATAGTATAGTATAGTATATACGGTCAGAGAATCTGATGATTCATCAAATCAATATCAAATGCACTTGGGAGGCGCCACATTTGAGGACACTTCTAACGATTCTTATGCTTGTCATTCGAAGTAATAAAGTGAAATAGACATTTTAGTATAACTTGTTTCTCTGACCTAAGTCGCATTTTCGAAATCATGGTTGGTCAGCGGTGATATGGACGCAATAATGGCTTATTTGAACTAGTAGAAACTTTTCCTCGAGAATTTTTTCACATTTTGTGTCATTTTAATATGATACAGATGATCGCTCGCTAATGAAATACTCAAATGATAGCGATAAATAATGTCATTTATATATGTGTGATACTTTTTGGGCCAAAATCCTGTAAACAATTCAAAAGAGAATAATTTTTTACATCCACTCAATATTTTAAATGAGAATCTGAACAAGAATGTACGGGTACCAGTGTTTTTAATGAAAGAGTGTACCTTGCAGAACAAAGTGTTCGGTACCCAAATGAAAAAGAATTTACACGCTCAAGGAAAAGTTAGCGAGTACGCTATACACGCTGAATTTTCTTTTCGCACTTTGTTTTTTTTCCAAGATTTTCGTGTGTTTTATGCTAAAAAGAAATCTATCTATTGAACATGATCAGGACTACACACATCATGTTCAATAGAATAATAGATAGAGACACTTTTATATCCTTCCTATCCTTGTACACTTAGCTTACGTATATGGCTTGTGTACCGCTTGATATTAATCTAAAGTGGTACTGACAGTTTTTCGAGCAGCTGAAAGAAATACAAGAAAAGAAAACACTAGGATAAAAACACCCATCTTAAAAGATCTTAATTTTAGTTTATGTCTGAAGATTTTCAACGGCTACAAATTCTGAATTTTTTGTTCATGTTATTTTTTCTCATATCGATATCTCTCTTTAAGTCAATTGTAAACAAACGCAACGTGACAGTGACAAGGGTAGGCTGGGAATAACATCAGATCGGATCTGGGTCCGTTCTATACCCAATCCTCATCCTCAAATCTTCACAGATTTTTATCCAAAACATTGAAAGTGATTCTAATACATTAATCGGTTATGTATAGATGTCACCTAGTGTTCAACGTTGTTATTGCCAAACAGCTCATTAATTTTCATTTCAGTCTTTAATTTCGGCTGATTAACATTGTCTCAACTCCAACAGAACACATAGCCATAGATAGTAGCTGATCAAAAGAAAGATTTAATAAAAATAATATTATTTGTCAGATTTATTGGTCCTCACAGCAACTTATTTACTTTTATTTGAACTTGTCATCATTTGATTATTATGAAAATAAATCAATTAAAAAAATGAAACATTTTTCATATGATGATTCATGTTTCATCCGATTTATGTATGTCAAGAGTAAATTTCTTAAGACCAAAGATAATCTTCAGATTGGACTTCGAAGTTTTGAAAATATGTTATTTGCTCTAGAAGCAGACTGTCATAACTGATCGTGAAAAAGCTTAAAAAAAGTATTCTAAAAAAAACCAGTAAAAAAGAGAAGTCGTCAATCTCAGGGTACGTTTAAAACAGAATTGCTTTACTGTTCAAATTTCTAACAGAGTAATTTGTTTAATTGATTTTATTTAGTAAAATAAATCAATTGATCAACAAATTAATTGAATTGTGTGGCAAGTTTCCTAATCCATCTATAATTTTGCTTGCACTCAATGAAAGTTTCTGGTGAAACACTAAATGACGAGCAGGAGCCCATGTTATAAAAATCGAATCATTTTTAGCGGTAAACCGCGGCATTTATCGAAACCGATAGTTTATCGCAGTTAAATGCAACAACGAGAGTCGGTAACGAGATCGGTAAAACCGCGATAAATAGCCGATTTTTTTATCATGTAAGAAGATATTAACCCAGAAGACAAACAGTTGTTTGGAGTTTTAGAAGAAATGCATGTATTTGTTAAATCTCTAAAATAAAATCTAAGTGAAAACAAAATAACTATTGAAGAAATACTCTTATCCATCAAGACAATTGTTCTCTTGGCTAGAATGTGTTGAAGAAACAAATAGAAAATGCAAAAGATGTTTTCTGGAAGCTGAAATGATGCATAAGCAATTTTCTTTGTAGAGATGTAAAACATCTTTTATTTTATGATCTTTTCTTAGGGGAAAAAAAAACGATTACCACGGAACGAAATAAAAAAAAATGTTTCAATCAGAAAAAGCGAGAGTGAGTATCATTGTCCGTTACTACATTCTCAGTCATCGATCATAAGTCACGGAACAATTTCAGTCTAGGAGGAACTCAACTTGAACCTACCGAACCCTTTATGAACGTAAGCAGGCCTGATCCCTTGTCGTCTATGAATGGCAATGAAATGCAATCAATATTTATTAGAGAAGAGTTGATACTAGAGAAAATATGCAATGATTAAGCAACAATGAGTCATCTGCCAGAAGAACATGAACACTAAACAATAATAGAAAATTTATACATCGATTTGAGCCTACTCGGTGCTAATGCCACGGCTGTCTATGTTCGCAACTGTTTGTGAGATCATTTAGATTTGTGTATCTCGGGAAATTTTCGAATACTGTCTTCTAAACAAAATTCACCTCTTACCATTTCCGGAAACTCTCGAGAGGTACATATCATTAAAATACGTTTCTTCCTTGATACTGTAAACTTGGATAATATACGAAATAAGATAGATAAGACAATGTTATCATCGACATGTTGACTTGATTTAATATTATTGCCTTTTTTTAAGCGTAAACACCAAAAGAAATATATATTAAGTAAATGTAAAAGACTCTACCAATGCAAATCAAGACTCAAGAAATTCTTTTAAAAAAGACATTGTATTCAAAAAAAAGCATTTATGATTGTGTAACAAACGCGAATCATGAGTTTGCACAATATTTATGAATTCAGTTTTGCCTTTACGATTGAAAAAATCTTGAACTCGTCTCTATTTCTAGCAGCAAAATATGTTCATTTCATTTATCTATGGTGGATATATTCGATTATTTTTCCACTTGAAACTTTCTCAATGATTTATTAAAAAAGCTTTTTGTGTTATGATGAATCTGAAATGCTTTTAATCCTGTTAAATTTGAAAGTTTCTTTACCATGATATATATATATATATATACAAGATAAAATTCTTTGTTATAGAAATTTTTCAACAAGAAAAAAAAGTCCAATAGATGTCAATATATATATTTAATGAATTTTCCTAGACAAAATTTATCTTAGTAAAATCGGGCATCATTTTGATGGGTATTATTCATATGAGGAAGATAAACTTGTATTAATTGCTACTTGAGTCATATCATTTTCAGCTTTGTCTTGTCCATCATGATTAGTAATATACGCACGACATTCGGAATCCAAAGAAAATTCTGTATAAGAATTGAGAAGATAAATAATAATGAAGAGAAGAGCAAATAGAAAAGTTCCCACAAGATCAATTATTAATTCATTATGAAAATGAGATCGAGTGATCATTTCTCATATTTTATTATATAAGATAACTTATCAATGAAATAATTAATTATTCTTCACATCGAAACACAAACTAAAGAGCGCTTTATTTAAAAAGACGATTATCGAAAAATTCCACAAATGAGTTAAATTCAATATGAGCAAATAAAAAATGTTTAAAAAAAAACAAACACAAAATGAAATAATGATTTATTTGTAGAAACATTTTATATTCATTATAATCAGAAGTAATATTTCATCTCTAATCTATTTTGCTTTAAATATGAGAAAGAAACACAGCATTAAAAACAAACTCTATCAATGAAAAGAAAGTTCGTGCTTCGTATGAGATTGTATAAATATATTTATATGTATAATTAGATAATAGAAAAAAAAACGATTCATGCAGCTGGTGCACGACTATGATATTCAGAAAATTCTTTTTCTGCTTGTGGCATCCATGTTTTAAGTTGACTAATACGTGTATGATGTGATGGATGATCGGAGAGAAATTGTGGTGGAGAACCTTTACCAAGTTCTTCATCCATTCTTTGCCAAAAAGCAATCGCTTCTTTTGGTTCATAACCAGCACGAGCCATATATAATAAACCAATATGATCGGCTTCAGATTCTTGTTCACGAGAAAATGGTAATACTGATCCATATTTTGCACCAGCACCTAATGCCGCCATTATTGCCTATTCATATTTATTAAATAAATAAATCACCAAAGAAAAAAAAAACAAGAAAACCTGTCTTTGACCTGGATCCATTTGAGCAAGGCTTCCTTGTACACCACCTAACAGAGTTTGAGATATTTCCGAACGAAAAAGTCTTTCGGCACTATGCCTCGAAGTAGCATGGGCCATTTCATGACCAAGTACAGTGGCTAATCCTGCTTCATTTCTTGCTATTGGAATAATACCCGTATAAACAACTATTTTGCCGCCGGGTAAACAAAAAGCATTTTTTTCATTTGATTGAATAACACTGACCTAATAAACAAAAAAAACTGAAATTTATGAACTAAGATTCTAGATACATACTTCCCAGTCGTAACGAACAGTTGCCTTTTGAGCAGCTGCTTTAGCAAGTTTATTTGTAACTCGTTGAACTAAATCAAAGTTAGATCCACTGCGAACAATTTTTGATGCTTCATCTTTTTGTACTTGAGCATAAGCTTCTAAACCTAACTTAAGTTCTTGTTCAGGATTAAGAGCAATTCGACTTGTTCGACCAGTTTCAGGATTTGTTATTTTACTTGCTGTAAATAATTTAAAAAGAACAAAACCAAGTGCAAGCATTATTGGCACTAATGTTAATGGAAAAGCATGTTTTCGTTCAAGTTTTATTGGCATTTTTATTTCAGTATATCCTTAAAAAAAAACAAACTTTGAATTCATTCATTCAAAATCTTAATTCAATACATAAAAAATAAATATTTTCTCTAAAATTTTTGAGTTTATTTTGTATTTTTTTTTTCGAAAGAGTTATATGTTGTCTACTAAAATATATATCAAAGAATTTTATCGAAAAAGTTTGTTCAAAGTCGTTGCAGAAGTCTTAGAAGAATATTTATCAGAAAACGCTTACGCAATTTCAGTTATCATTTTTTTTTTATCGAAATAATATGTTTTCGATGTTTTTTACCATGAAATATAAATAAAATTGTTCATAACAACGAAATATTTCATTTCATATGTAAAACTAATTGGTCTAACGTACAAAACACTGATTTCTTTACAAGACGAGTGAAAATATTATCTGAATAGTTTGAAAGAAAATATGTGTTCTATGAGAAATAAATATTATTTTCTATAACATTCTTCGTTTTTCATATAAAAAGTAAATCTTATGATAAAGTTTCTCTCGAAATCGAATCATTTTATTTTCACTTTATGAAAAGACGTTGAATATTAATTTATTCTTTTTCAATAACATAATATAATTCTATCCGTATGTTACCAAATACGAAAAACATAAACGAATACAAAAAAAAGAAAACAAATCTTTGTTATTGAAGAAATTTTTTTCTTAATAGTAAAAACAATGTTGAAAAAGTTTTCTCGATAGGTTTTCTTCTAAGATTAAAATTATCCTTTAGAAATATGTTCAAAAAAACTTCTTTAATATATTTTTAACCTTTCGAACAAAACATCATTAACTCACTACGCTATTTTATTCAAATGGTATTGTAAAAACATGTCATAACCGTAGAACTTTTGCTCCAATAAATTAAGATGTAAAAAAAAAAACAGAATTCTTACTCTCAATAGAATTGACGCATAGAGTAGCAAAACACAAACTTCTCAACTAACGATTAAAGACAATAAACAATTTGTTGACAAAATTCTCTCACGGACAATGTTATATACAGAGAAAGAAAGTAATTTTATCTGTCTTATATAATTATACGGTTTAATCAAGTTAAATTTTGAATATCTCGTTGAAAATACTTCTAGTTTTTTTTTTCAAGTAAATATTTATTGACATAATCGGCGTGTTTTTTTCGTTCTCTCTAACACAAAACACATATTGTCTCTTCCTGTTTGAATACCTTTGTTTTTTAAAGACGAGCAAACAAGTCAATTGAACAAATACAAACAAATAAACAGATTAAAATCATAAATGAACATTGGTCAAACAATTTTACAATACTCACAAAGAAAATAAGTGATTCGTCAACAGAGGCCACTATAAACTCTATTTTCCACTGAATAACCTCACGATATCTATTTGTCTTTTGTAGATAATTGTATTAGATTCATTTAAATAGTTAAATATATTCTATTATTCATAACTATAATTACAGAAGATTGTTTATTTTTTTTTACGTTATGAGAAATAATTAATAATATTCGATATATTGTTTGATATTTATTTGTTGCAAATTGAAATTAGTAATCAACTTTTATCTTTTATTGTAATATGAAAATAGACTAAAATAACGGACGAATCTTTTTAATAGACATCTCAATAAAATTCTTTCTTCTATAATAATTTCTATGAAAACCAATATCAATACTGAAAATCTAATCAAATAATAATCAATAAATTAAAAAATAATTTAAAATTGATATTCAATAAAAAAAATTCCTAATTTGCATTTTCTTCATTTCAATTAATTTATCAAATATATATAAAAACTTTCTATTAAATTATATTTCAATAGAACCAACATCCCGAATAGCAACGGTACCAAATTCATTTCTCTTGTTTGTCTTTCATAACGAACATTTTCTATTCGATTGAATATATATTTCTATATACAAATTTGTTGAATGTTGATATTGAGAATCGTATGACTACAGTCTTTCTCTACTATATTGTGCCGAAAAAAATTTCCGAATAGATTTCAATGAGAAAATTCTTTTATTTGACAATATGTTATCGAATTATTACTAACATTGTTTTTTTAATTGATATTTTATCACTCGAACGAACTTTAAAGTTTTCAAAAAAAAAACAAATGTGAATTTATATAACGAAATCAATATGTTTAATATTGTAAAAAAAACCGTAAATTTTATTGAATAAATCAAATGATCTGTATAAAAGATCTTTTTTTTTTAACTATAGTCACTTTTCAATTCGAACAAGATTATTATTTAATTGAATTGTTTTATAGGAAAAATTAATCCTAATCATTTATTGTTATTTTACATAGGAAATAATAATTGTTGGGAAGTGCTTATGTGATTTGTTAAAATGTGTATTCAAATAGAAAAGTGAGAAATGAACTTGAACAAATACATTGTTAAATATACAGATAAAGAAAACGAGAGGGCATGACCTCACACATGTTTTTTTTTCCTTGTTTTTTTTGTATATCCGTCAGTCAGTTAAGATTTTTTTCAGTAGCTAATATTTCAATGTTAAATGGTTGACCGTTGTATAATGTCGAAAAAGATTGGCTAAACAAGAAACGAAAGGAAAATCATTGTTCTATAAATCTCTCTCTTTCTCTCTCTTCGTTTCTCTCTGTATATAACATAGATGAATCGTTCATTTTATGTTCGAGATTCATATACGAAAAATAAGTTTAGTTGATTGATTTGAAGATAAATTAATACAGCGAAGAAAAAGAAAAAAAAATGTCGTTAGATCCATTATTTCGACGAATGACAATGATTGTTGCCGTATTTGCTTTTGTTGGTGTTTTTCTTGGTACTATGGCAATGGTAACTAATTATTGGACATTTGGAACTCTTGCACCATCAGATATGCCAATGCCACCAACAAATGGAACTGTTATGGGAAATGAAAAATTTGATATGGCTTGGAATGTAAGTTAAAGTTTATATTCTGTTAATATGTTCATAAAATAAAAATTTTTTTGTTTTTTTTTAAGGGTTTATTTCGAGTTTGTACATCACGTGTTGGTGTACCATGTGTAACACAATTGTGGAAAACAACATTTATCTTATGTTTATCAGGTTTAATATTTTTATTAGTTGGTGGAATATGTTCTATATGCGAAATATTTAAAACAAGTGATCGACGATTTGCTATTCCAATATGTTTTTTTGTTGCTTGTGTTTTAATGACAGCAGGTCTTTTTGATTATGGATCTATGGCACGACTTAATTATCATTCATCACGTCTTATGATATCTGCTATTGTTTTTACTTATGTTGCTTTACCAATGTCAGCTTTTATTGCAGGTCGTTATTCAGCTTATGATCGTTATATAAATAATGGTCATGTTCATAATGGACAAAAATATGTACCTGCTTCAACAAATGGAAATTAATATTACAAATCAATTCATTATCAATCTTTATTGTCTTATGTAGTTTTGGATTTTTCTTGTTCTTTTGTTTTGTTTTTGTGTAAAGTTTTCTCTTGGAATCTCATTATCATCTAACAATTAATTAGAAATTTATTGAATAAATATTGAATAACATCGAATTATTCTTAGATTTTCTTTCACATTATATTGAAAAAAGTTCTTAAAAGAAAATTGTTCACAGTAAAACAAATGAAAAATAAACTTCATAGAACTTGATTATTATGTAAAATTACTGTTCATTGCATATTTTCATTGGATATTTCTCATAGAAATAAGATTCTACTTATTTTCATATGAAAAATCCAAAATATAAAATTTTAAGATTGACATTTGATAACTAATTTTTGCTGCTCATTGCTATTCGTAATAGATTTATTTGTAATGTATCATTATTTCCGAATTTTGACTTCAAATAGTTTTAAAATATGATTTGTGTATGAGAGGAAAAGAAAAGCATTCAATTGAATAACTGAGTGGTTACTAAAGCGAATATTTGAATATAATTGTTTGATAATTTCTCAATATTTTTTATAATATAAATTAAATAATGAAATGTTTTTTGATTTCAGGCAAATTAAAACAAAGTCCAAGAAGTTTTCCTCTAAATTCAAATGCTGAAAGTTAATGTAAAACGGTTGTTTGTTTATGATATTGGGCTCTGATTATTGAATATGATAGTTTTTTTTCTCAAAATAATTCTTTCAAATATTTCTTCTTATTAATTCTTAGGTATCGATTTCAGTTCGAATAATTGCTTTTTTTTTATTTGCTATTTATTGAATATAATAAAAACACAGATCTCAAAAATTGATCAACAATTTTTTATGTTTATTTAGATTTCTAAAGCGAGCTTCTATAGACATTTAGATCTGCGTCGACAATATCCTGTTTAAAGATTATAATGACATGAGTTTTTCTATTATTATAGAGCCTTTTTTTTATAAAACATACTGTATTTGTATAGACACATTTATTGCATATGCTCATGTTATACCGTTAGAAAAGTTTTCAAAATTTCTTTTATTAATCAGATTACTTGTTATTTTTTAATTATTTGTAAATAATTTATCTAAACGAAATTGTTTTCTAATAAAATTCTTCAAATATTTTATTAGTAAAAAATCGTTATATATTTCTAATATTTTATAAATATGATTTCTTCTTCGAAGATAAATCCACAAGTGTCCACCGCTTTCCAGCTCTAATAAACTATTGATGTGTTGAAAGAAGTTCAGGTCTTAGTTTATGGCTGACAAGATATTTTGTATTTTGATGTTAGTTTTTGATAGGATCTCATGTTCTCTTCATGAACAGCCCGATTGATGATTTGACGATTTTGACTTAAACTTCATTTAGAAATACACTTCAACAAATATATTTTATTGCCATAGTTTCACATTATTTTTCTTCATTCGTATTATAAAATAAGAAAAATGATATCTGCTGATAGATAAGACTAATATAAGAAGAAAAAACATGTTTTTCTATAGTTAGTCACGCATTCAGATACAAACAACTAAAATATATGCAATTTTCATAAGAAATCATCTGACTGACATATGTTTTTGTGCTAAATTTCAAGTTGAAACTGGAAAGTCAAGTTTTCTAATCCTTCGGAAGTTGATCACAACATTGACCTTAAACATATTCTAAAAGTGTAGCGTCTTGTCAACAATAAGAAATCTATTGAGAAATGTCATACAGTTTTTTACTTAAAACAACGATTCGAAGTTTTGAAGATTTTTCTCGTTCAATATTGTTCTTACTTTTACCTTATCTATATTATATTTAGTTTGAAATATTATACAGTCAATTCTTTTTATCTGTTAATTAAAATATCGGACATTACATAGAATATTGGAATTGTTTTCTAGTCAATTTCATACTTATTGGAAAGTGTGCGCTTTCACCAATTTCAGAAAGCTTTTTTCTTCCATTTATTTGAATATTGGTCAGTAGAACTTCAGTTGCTCATAATTTTTAGGTATAGTAATTCATGTTTTTCTGATTGAAACAATCAGAAAATAATAATAGTTGGCAAACATTATTTGAAAAAACTTGATTCTTTTAAATTTATGCGAATTATTCTTTTCTGTTCTTGTGTTTCGCTGCTGTGAACATTTTTCTGTTGAATAGTTAGGACCAACATGCTATTCAATCGAGTATAATCATCAAACACGGCAGTAGGTAAAGAATCGGAGCATCAGTTCTATTTACGTTCTCATAGAACGTTGTTTCTTTTGTTTTGTAAATTGAATTAGTTTTTCTTTGGAAATGATAACGAAAAAAAGTAGGTTTCGTTTGATTTTCCTAGATTTTCTCGTTTTTGATAAAATCTATTCATTTGCTAATTTTTGATCAAAATCTTTGGAGTACTATTCGTAAATCTCAATTTTCTTTATTGAAACAAAGATTAGACGTAAGAAGATAATCATCATCGAAATCGAAATTAGTCGTCATCTTTTGTTTGTTTAATAAGAAGTCGAAAACAAACGAATTCAATAGAAATGATTAAAGACTATGAATGTACTCTTTGCAACCGAGTTATATTAGTATATGTTTCAAATCTATTTGATCGAATAAGAAATAAAAACAATAAATGATTCAGTTTGATTTAAGTGCCTTATCAAGAGAAATATATATTTAAACTAACAGCAATAAAAATTCTCAAGATACATTGAGAAAAGGAGATGATCGTTTTTTCTTCCTCAAAATGAAAAATTTATTTTGATTAAAAAAGAGTTTTTAAAAAGTTGTATCGAAAGAATTTGAAATATAAAATAATATTGATCATCATGATGAAAATATAATTTAATGTGGTAAAATAAAATTCAATAAATTTCTAATAATTGGAGTAAGAGCCAGTTTTTTTCGGATATTGATTCAATAGTGAAAAGCGTTAAAAATTTTGACTTCTTAACATTTGAAGAATTTGTTTTTATTGTAAAAATCTTCTTCTTTTGATTTTGTGGAACTCACATTTATTGTCGAAGAAGATAAACATGAGTGGAAGTTTAAATCGAAGTTTTTGCGGCTCCCTTTAGTCTAGGCCCTCGCAACCCGTGGAGGCGGGGGCGGATAACGATCATTAGATACGTTTTCCTAGCAAAGAGAGAAGACGTCTCAGCAGTAACAGTGCTGAAATTATTCTAGAAACTCATAGAATCCTCAAAACATTTTATGAATCTAAAATTTCTACACCAGATTCTAACTAGTTTAAACACTGCGAGTTTCTCTATTCAGTGGAGTGAAGAGATCTTGTTGAGGTGTCCATCAGTAGAGCTATGGTAGTATTGATCTAGCAAAATCGGAATAGGATGGACATTGAAAAGTATGAGCTGATTGAATTCTAAGTTTTGGCAAAACTCAATAATATATGTCAGAGTTTGTTTCGAAGAAGGACGGTGTGTTCGAAAGCTTACTGAACGATGAAATGAAAAGTGAAATGATATTTGTCCTTTCTAATGGTATGTATCACATATATTATCATTATCATACAAAAAGTTGTGTATTGACGATGTATTTCACAATACAAATAAGCTTTATAGAGTCAAATAAATTGTTAATATAATAATTTTAAGCGTAAACATTTTCGAAATAATAGGATTTCAGTGGGCACCTATCAACTATATAAATTGTTATGATTTATATTAATTCATTTATTTGACATTCTTTTCAAATAAATTATTTTAAAACGTCTGTCGATATACCATAAATTTATAACAGTGACAATTTGTGAGGTTCACACTTTGACCCCTTATGGAGCGGCACTGAAACGTTTTCTTAATGAATGCTATGTTTTTCCTGATGAACATAAGCAAAACTTATATTCCAATTTCAATTCAGAATCTTGTATAGAGGAAGATCTTAATGAGAGTGAGTTATTGTAACAGTTTTAAGTTTTTTGAGTTGCTTTTATCCTGAAATAAAAACATCGAATCTGCCGATGTGGATAAGCATTATAAAAGATAAGCTTTGATCATAGCTCTATCTTAAGATAGAAACAAAAAAAAGATCTGGAATTTCACAACTGATCTCGTTGAAGCCTATCTATATGCAAAGTTTCAAGCCGAAATTCGAAAAAGGTGTTAGATATGAGTGTAGAGCTTCTGTTTATCTACAACCATAACCACTGTTAGTGTTGTTGATTACAATTATGTACTCAGACAGAGAGTATCTCTCATTTCGATGCCGCTTGTACATGTATGGTTAGATGTGTCCAACTTTTTGCAATGGTTGTAACTTTCAGATTTGTTATATATATGTGATCTTTAAAACGTATCTAGATCATAAAAAGTTTTCATGTATAGAACAATACATACAAAAAATATTATTGGTTTGACGTTTTTTTATTTGAATTTTTATCATCATCACCATCTTGGTTTTTACGTTGTTTCAAAGAGCAGTCACAAATAACACAAGAGCAAGATGTTGTATCATTATTACTCTTTATAAATGATGTTATCATGGATGCAGCATTGTTGTATGTTTGATAAACGATTAGATTGTTTATAACCTAAGAAAAAGAATAATCTATGTCAAAATAAATTGACGTAAATAGAAAATTTTTGATAAGTCAAAGAAAACTTTCTATGATGCATCAAGAGTTAAGAAAAAACTTAACAACATATATTACAAAAAGGTTTTTGAATAAGACTTACATTTAAATCGTTCGAAAATGAACGTGTGTACTTCAATATTTCCTCTACCATTTTAATATCGTCTTCTATTTTAGTTGATTTCATTGAAAAAGAAATGAAATTTTCTAATTGTCGAAGAAAAAAGCTAATGTTAACACTTAGAGCATTTATAGGTTGCTGAACAGTTGGCAGCATATTAGACTCAAATGATCTCGTCTTCTATTCACCATTCATATCTTCTCAATAGTCCAATTTAATAGAGAGGAGTAAAGCAAAAAAGCAATAGCCATTCTCACTTTACGTAATTCAATTTAGATGAACGATAAACAGGTGTGGTCACCTTTTTTATGAAGAAGAAAAACAAGTTGCATTAAATTATAATCATTTATTTCTACGAATATTAAGAATTTTCCACAATAACTAAGGATAATTTGTCAACGACATTTTTATACTTTGTCGTGACATAAAAGGCTGAAAATTTTCTCGCATATATATATATATATATATCTAACCAAGATCTTTTATTATCGAAAGTTTCAGCTATCTAGCAAAAACTAGAGTTGAAGTGTCTGAACAAGATTAATACAAATGAATTTTTATACTAGATTTATTTTGAGATCTTTATTTCTTGATCAGCGATGCTTATAGAAATTTGATGAAAAGAAACTTTGAAAGACAATTTTTCTCTAAAAGATAAATCGTAAGAAAACTCAATGTTTATGACCGAATTCTCAATTGCTTTTTGTGACTTATCGTAATTGACAAAGCGTTTCGTTTTATTACTTTTATGCATTTTTGTCAAAGATTTTCTTCATTGCTATGCATTTTCTTGTTCTAATTATCATAATCTATCAATTATTTTTCCACGTACTTATTCATTCACTATACTTCACACATTTCTCAGTTCTTCATACATCGGTAAATTTAACATCGCTATACATGGATTCTGTAAGATCATTAAATAATCGTGCTAAGAACTGTGCGGCCAATACTCTTTGTTGTTTAGAGACGATTTCAATTCAATGTAAATCATTTATAATTTTTTCAGTTTGTTTTGTAACTGTTGGGCATTTAACGTAAGAAAAGAAAAATAAATATCTACTTCTTTTTTCTTCGTCATTTGCATAGAAAGACCAAATGAATTTTGACAGAAAACTCTCAATAAAAGAGTAAATAGGATTGATTACGCGTGTTTTGACAATCAGCATAGGTTGACGATTGTGCTCGATTGGATAATGAACTGGTAGTCAGATTTTAACATTGATGTTCGAACATTTGATTTAAATAATTTATGAAGATCAAGATATATATAATGGAGAATAACATAGAAAATAATTCATCTTCTTATATCTTATATAAATAAGATAAAAATATTTATTTTAAGAAAAATGATTGTAACTTAAAGGAAACATCATTCAATATTAACTGATTTAGAAAATAAAAAACATATTTATTTATTTTCATTTTTCTTCGATATTCGAAACGATTTATCTTAATTTATTTACAAATCAATCAAGAATATTGTCAGTTTTTATTTTGAGATTAGATTGAGACGAATGCAAGATATAAACTAAATATTCAAAGATTTATTGTAACAAATAGAAAATAAAAACGAATTCAAAACATAACTGAATGGATCAATCGTTGAACTGAGATTTTTTTTTTTATTTAATAAGGATTTAACGATAATAAAAATGAACGAACAAATTCTTGTGTGTTACCACTATTTACATGATGAAACTGATAATTAATATCTTCACAAAAATTTTTTGTCTGAAGTAAATTTTTAACACCAACTTGAATTATATTTCCACGAATATTTAATTTTTTACTACGTTCTTTTATATATTTTATATAATGTGTTTGATTTCCACTTGAGCTAAAATTATCACTACCATCAGTAAGAATATAAATAGATTGTGTTGTCGAACGATTAAGAATTTGATTTAATTTTTCAAATTTTTCTAAAGAAAATTTCATAGCATCAAATAAACATGCATTTGAACTATTTGGTTGAAGTTTTTCAAGAATATCTAAATGATATTGACGAGTAGTTTCAAATGGAAATTGTTCTTCAGGACAATGATCATATGTAATTAATGAGATTTGATTTTTAGTTGAATTCGATCTAAATTATAACCATTTTTTTTCGTTTAAAGAAAAATAAATTTTACCTTTGTTGAAAAGTTTCTTTTAAACATTGAATAGCTAGTTGAAATCGACTTATACCAAATAGACCAGTCAAAGAGTCCGAATACCACATGGATTTACTTCGATCTAATAAGAATATATCAAAAGTATTTTTCATTGATTGATTGTAAACATCAACAAGTTGTTTAATCTGCTTATTTTCTAATAAGCAATTTTGAGATATAGGAGTATTGCAATAAACAATCGGACAACGATTATATCGAAGAATACAGTGATGATCAAATGAATGACCACATGAACAAACAAGAATTGGATTTGTGTAAATTTCTCCACATATGTAACATTTTAAATCATTTATATTTGCTTTTGTTGCCATACAATCTTCTGTCATATTTATCTGTCTTTCTTCGTGTCTTTCTTACACCTTTATTTAAATAAAAAACAAAAAAAAAAGGAAAAAAACTGTAAGTTTTCTTTTAATGAATCATAACTGACCAATAATCAAAAAGGAAAAATCCAACATGAGTTATGATACATTTTACAACGAAAATTTACTTTATGTATATTAAATGTTTGCTTTTTTTTTCTTATTGATGTTATTTTTATCAAATTATTTTCTTTTATAAGTTGACAAACAATTTATAATCTAATCTTTAAAAACAATATTCATAAGATAAACACAATTTATTAGAATATACTTAAGAAGAATAAAGAATAAGAGTTTTTTTATCGATGATTTACCTAATATATTTATGTCAAATAATGCATTATAACAGATGTCTTCATCTAAAGATTAGTGGACATTGTCACTTACATTATTTAAAAATAAGATAGAACATATTTTCATATTTACTTATCGAAATTCTTGATTGTGTTTCCATTATCTGATTGTATAGCAAACATGCAATAAAAATAAAATATCTATTTTATTATCTTAAAGAATATATTGAGATCATACTTTCAATATTTGTTGATGGGGAAGACAAAAATACAGCAGTTTTCGAAAAGTCTTGATTACTCTTTTCGTTCCTCAATAAAACAAAATGATATTTATTCAGAATTTCTTGTTAATTTGTTGTCATGTTTTAGAATTATATGTTTTATATAATCTTCTTTCGTTCAAATTTGACTAATAGAAAGAATCTACGACGAATCAAAACAAAATGGTCAAAGTACACTGTAACACTGTTGTTTTAAAAAACGAAAGTATCTTATGAAAGAAACGTCTAGTTCTGACGGAAAATCGTTTTTTGCCATTCTATACAAATAGTAAAAGAAATCGATTAATGATAAAAATTTCTATTTTTTTTTGTGCATTGGATTCAAATTCTAAATTGGTATTGAGGGCAAATAGTTCGTCGTCGAACTTTCCATCGGAAACTATCGAACGAATTCAAATAGTGTTCAATATTTATGTAACTATCGAAGCGTTTCTTGATGTATGTGGTCAATCATGGAAGCATCCTGCAATCCGATCAAGTTTACGTTCGGTTATTTCTCAATCTCGTTGAGATTTTTTCGAATGTGTAAATAGTCAGTTTTTGAATAACTTATTTCACTGTATCCCGACTATTATAGAATTCTTTTGTTTGATCTTAGTTCTAGTTTGTTTGATTAATTAATTAAGAATAACTTAATTCAAGAGTGACGTCAAATGTTTGAATTCGATCGATAGCTACCTATATTGAGGTATTTGTGAAATACTCATATCAATTTACATATCAACATTTGATTATTTTAATAATGATTCGTTCTATTCATCCAAATCAGAATTGCATAGAATAGTCTTGTCTACATATAAAATATGCGTCGATGAATATTTATTAAATGACAAATAAGATAAACTTGAAGTTAAACAGTTATCTATCTTGACATAATAACTACTATGAAGTAACCAATAAATTTTCATGTAAATAATATATTCTTCATTTTGAAATAAAATTCATGAAATTTCATTCAAAATGATTCATATTAATTATTAGACAATAAAATACTGAAAAATATTGATTTTCTGACTATAATGTGTCATCGTTCTTTGTATATTTGAATTAGCAAATATTTAAAATAAAACTTAATTCAAATCAAGTTTAGAATATTGTAGATTCTTCAGAAATAATATTTAATAAAATGTTCTCTTAGTTGTTATGTTAAAACATAAAAAATACATGAAGTAAATTATCATATGAAAAAAACAATTGATAAACAAATAATATTAGTATATATATAAATGAATATATTTTTCAAAACTTGAATAGTTCAATAAAACAATATTTTTATTCATATTAGAATTCTTCATGATAAATAAATACATTTTTTTAATCGAATGTGAATGATAACAATCTGATAGTTAATATTGACCTGTAAATAAAATAAATGATTGAAAACTTTTGAAATTGAGATTGTTAACTAATCGTATCATTGATTTTTTCGCTTAACTTTATATTTCTAGATCTTAGGTAGAGAGGAAAGTTTTTTTAAATTTTATAAAAATATTTGTGAAAAATTATAAAACATAACCAATACTTTGGTGATATATTTCACCAAAGATGAACATTATTTGAGATATTAATCACACAACAAGTTATCATCTCTGTGCACGTTTTACTATTGTTATTGAATATTATTCTCGTTGAAATAAATCAAAGTCAGTAGAAGTTGTCTTTCACTCAATAATTAATTTCTATGTTAATAAAAAAGTTCATTGAAAGTCAAAATGCTATCTAAGGCTAAATCTGCATTATTTAGATATGGCTGCCATTCTATAAAATAATTAAGTAATAGAGATCTTAGTGAATATACTTACCAAATATAATAAAATGATTGAAAGATAATCTATTGATTATAATCCATTAAATGGATTAAAATTATTTTGAATATCATAATGATGAGTCAATCATCATGAAAAATCTGATGAAAATAGGCACAACATCTATTTTGTCGAATCATTCATTTGATTACTAATTAACTAGACCCTCAACAAATTATTCTTATTGATGATACTAAAACAAAAACTATTAATGTCATTTACATGTAATTGATCATCCAACAAAGAAAATATTATAATCTTAATCAAATTCAACTTTTTCAATCGAATATGATTTACCAATTGAAATTCTTAACTTAATCGGGGAAAAAACCGCTGAAGAACCAATCAGTTATATTACATAATTGTTTTTCTCGAACATTTAAACAATAAAGATCGATAACAATGGACCAAAATCTACATGCTTCGGTATCGTAAAAAAGTTAGTAAAAACTAGTTCGTTTGCAAAGTTCAACTGAACGAGGATATACACTAAATAACAAATTCCAAGAAATTCAAATATTCTTTCTCCATGAGATAATGAATACGAAACTAAAGAATACTGCTGCAAAGATCCTGATTAAATATCAATAATCTATAGATAAATTTTATTTTTACACATCCAATTAAATGTATTCAACTACTAACTTACTATCAAGTTGATCTATAATTGTGAGCTAACTAACGTTTTATTTTAAATATATTTTCGAAGACAAATATAAATAAAAATAATTCAAAGTTAATAGCCATAAAACGAATTATCGAATCCAATGCAATCTCAAAACTAGACAAATCATTTTCTATTGTTCTTTTTTTAAATATTAAAATCAATATTCTAGGCTTTTTTTGTCAAAACGCATTAAATTGAATTTTCATGAAATTTTTTCTCATTGTCATTTTATTTGGATTTTCCACAAACCGGAAATAATGATGTCATGAACCGGATCAAATCAATAATCGACAAATCGGTCAAACTGATGTCAGTTCGAAGTCTAATAACAACGTATTTCAGACTTCCAGACAAAGACACAGAATTCTATATTTATAGACTGTTTGCACCCATCGGTTGAGTAATAGATTTTTTAAATCAAGATCAGGCTGTCAATCGAACAGATTAGCTTTGATTATCCATATTAAATCGTCATGAGCATATGTCGATTTATATGACACTGATAAATATGATAAAGTGTTCTTATTATTAATATTGAATAAAAATCTAAATGTTTGATATAGATTGTCTTAACGATCGGTCATTCTAACTCTTGTTTGATTCCTCTATAATATTAACCAAAAAAAAAAAACAGTAGATATGCAGAAAATCTAAAAGTGGTTTTTCGATTGATGAACTACAATTTTTTCAATCGACTTATAATTTCATTTGTATTATTCACTAGAATAAACTGTTGTATGATATTTTTTTCGAAGATCTTATTGATAGATTAGATAATATAACGAAAAAAAAAAACAAAACAAGACAGTTTCATTTCTGTCATGTGCTTATTAAAAATTCATTTTCCAATTGAAAATATTTGATATTAATTTTATTTTTATAGTTTATTTAAATAAATAGTTCTTTTATTAAGAACAATAATCACATTTGAATTCACTTGTTGACTGATATATATCAAGTTAAAATGTGTACTTAATTGAATGTATATCCAATAAAATTTATCTATAATATCTCCTTATAGTGTATTCTCGTTAAGATAATTAACATATCTATGCATTTAAATAATCGATTAGAAAATATAAAAAAAAAACTAATTGATTTTTTTTGATTTATTTTTTTTGTTGTTTAAAGGATATTTTTATTTGTTTATACATTACAAAAAAAATAGCTTATTAAAAGTGATCTATTGTAAAATAAAAATAAAAAAAAAAAGTCGTTATTCGAATAAAAATGAATCGATATTGATTGTTTATTCTATTTGGTTTAATTTAATTTGTTAAATATGTCTGATATTCGTCGTGATCGTGAAAAATCTTTCTCTGTATCCCGATGTTCATCAATAAATGAACGTCAAAATAAAAAAGATAATTATGAAAATAATTATCGTAAAAGATCAAATTCAAATAGATCAAATGATGATACAGATTGTCAAAGAACGTAATTTAAATTTATTTAAATATTCTTCATTTTTAATTTATAGTTTTTCTTTTAAATAAAATATGGAATTTAGATCAAATCTTGATGCTAAAGTTTATATTGGAAATGTTCCAACAAATAGTTTAACTGATAGTGAATTACTTGATTTTTTTAAATCATTCGGCAAAGTTTCAGGTTTTTTTAATCTTTTTTTTTTAAATCATTCGTTTTTTTTTTTTTTGTTGAATAAAGATATTCGAGTTTATAAAGGTTATATGTTTGTACAATATGATCGAATAGAAGATGCTCGAAAATTAATAAAAGAAGGTCAAACATGTTTAATACTTAAGGGAAATAAACTTGGTAAAAGACTTCTTTGTTTTTTATTTAAATAAATAAATATTAATTAATATAGATGTTTTACCAGCAATGGACGGAACTTTAAATAGTAATAAATTATCTTTAAATGAAAGATCTTCGAAAGATCATAAAAGGTTAGTTTTTGTTTTATTTTTAAACAAAAAAATCAATAGTTATTTTTTTTTTTTTGTTTCAAAAGTTTTCAACATGAATTATCAAGAAGTTCTCGTCGACATTCTGATTATGATCGACAATCATCAAATTATGAACCTCCTAGAAAACGATATTCATCAAAACATCATTTAGATGATCATCATCAACATAGATCTTCTTGTAGTACTAATAATTCAAATAATTATCGGTTAGTATTATGATTGAAAAACTTCTTTTTTTTAAATAGATGTCTTTATTAAATAAATCACATTAACAAAAATTTTTCTTGAATAAAACTCGTTGTTTTTTTTTCGCTTTGTAAAAAACTTTTGAAATTACATTAATCAAAATTTTGATATTGAAAAATATGATTCGAGAGTTTATTTGTAAAATATCTAAAAGAAATTATTAAATTGTTTCCATTTTTGGCTAGTATAACAATAAATAAAACAAGATTAAGTTTATTATAATTGAAAAATTAAATAAAAACTAATGAATTTATTTGTTTTAAAGAGTAAATTTATTTTTTAATATAAACTCGATATTGAAAAAATTGAGTTTGTAGAAAAAAATAATAAATTCACATAATTGAAATGACCTGTTAGTTTCTATTTATCATTACAAAAAATTGAAGTTCAATTGTGAAACTTCGTAGAAATTTTTGTCTATGTTGATCAATAAGTTTAAAAGACGTTGAATATAAACAAGTCCCGGGACATGTCAAAATCAAGGTAAAGTTGAACTGTTTTCCATCGAATTTTTATGAGAGATAGAACTCAAAAAACTGTGATCGCAAGCAACGATTCGAGCCCGATTGACCGATTCAAAACAAAGTTAAAATTCAAACACTACTTTCAACTTCGGTGAACTCTATCTCAATATTCAAACGACTGTTCAATCTGATTCATCGATATTGTGAAGTCTAGTTCGTCTTACATTTTTAACATAAGCTTCAGAAGAAACTTGGAAAGTTGAAGATATAAGAAAGACCAGGCTTCACAATGTCAATGAATCAGATTGAAAAATTCTTTGAATATTGATTGAGATAGAGTTCGTCGAAGTTGAAAGTAGTGTTTAGACTATAATTCTATTTTGATTCGATCAATGAAGCTCGAGTTATTGCTCGCGATCATAGTTTTTCGAGTCGTTCTATCTCTGATAAAAATTTGATGAAAAACGGTTCAACTTTACCTTGATTTTCACATGTCTCGGAACTTCTGACGAATACTGTAGATCGATTTAATCAATTATATTTTCTTAGTTACATCAATTTAAATAATGTTTATCTTTATTGTAAAATAAAGAAAAATGATTTAATTAATTTTAAGTGCTGCAAGCAGAGACAATTAGTAAAGATATTTATATAATTGAATATTATAGAGATTCAAATAAGATGGAAATGTTTAGTGATCGTCGTGTTATAATATCATCATCAAGATGTAGTTCACATCGATCTCCAAATACTAAATCATATGAATCATCATCATTATCACGTTATCATCAATCATGTTATACTATTTTATCAGGACCTGATAATCCAAGACAATTAGTAGATTGTCAAATAATTCTTGTTAATCCTCGTCAAAAGTTTGTTTTTTCTTTAGTTATTCAAAAGAAAATATATTTTTTGTTATTTTTTCTTAATATAAAAATATATGTTCAGAAGTTATGGTGAAGAAATATCATCTCGTCTTGTTTGTCATGGTTTGATAACATCTATAATACTTCTTCGAGAAGATTATACATTAATAGAAGCTATTGAAAATGCAGCACATGAACAATGTCTTTATGGAATAATTGTTATGCCAATGCATGAAGAACGACGTACTGCATCTTTTCATATTCTTCATTCACAAACAGAAGGTTTTATTTTTTTATTATATTATTTTTTTGTATAAAAATATATATTATTGTTTAGAACATCGTAATTTAACATTAGAAGATGGTTATCATATAATTTTAACAAATTTTGCTCGTTATAAAGAAAATATTCGAAATGAAGAAATAAATCGATATGATCATGAAAATATTCAATCAATGATTTATTCACAATCAAAAGAAAATTTAAATCAAGAAAAATCAAATTCATTAAATGAATATTCATCATCTTTTGGTGATAAATTACCATTATCAATGTTATTATGTCTTTTAGCTGATGGAAGACAATTAACATTAGATGAAGTTGATCGAATACTTGTTTATTTACTTGAAAAAAAAGCAAAAATGTTAACTTTACCACAAGGTACATTACCACCATTACCTATTCAATATGCAAATATTAAAACAAATCATCAAACAGGTTTGTTTTATAATTCACTTCTTATTTGAAAAAAAATTTAATTAAAAAATTATTATTCTTTTTATTTGAAATTTCATTTAAATGTAAAATATCTTTTTATATTTTTAATTCCATACTATAAGTAATTGATAAGAGAAAAATTTCTTCAATTGATTGAACTTATATAAAAATGTTTAATAGAATGAAATTATTCTATTCATTTTAAACTCAACTTGTACTTCATCTCCGATGAAAAAAATCTAAGAAAATTTCATTGATGAATACTTTCAAAGTTCTGTCAATTTTTTGAGTTATTCTGTTTTGAATAGAAGAATTATTTCTAAATTTATTTTTGAATAAAAAAAAAAAAAAAAACTAATTTGTTAATATTAAATTATTTATATAAAGATTCATGTGTCTTATCTGATCGAAATTGTTTTTTAACAAAAGAAGATTTATCATCATCAGAATTATCTTCAACAATAGCTGAACAAATTCGTCAGATTATTTCAACAGATATAATTAAATCATCATATTTAAATTCAAATGAACAATTTGATATTGAAAATCGAACAAAAAAAAATTCATTTGATTCATTATCAAATATAATTAAATATGAAGATAATCATAATTTACAAACAAATATTCATTTTAAACAAGGAAGAAAAGATTTAAATGATTATCAACAAAATTTTCAATCATCATCATCATCATCATCATCATCAGGACAAAATATTTTATCACAAGATAATCAAAATCAAACATTATTTTCTTATACAAAATCAAATGAAAATAATTCATCTATTGTTACACCAACATTTCATTATTCATCAACAATACCAACAAATCAAACATCATCAAATTCATTTATTTCATCCTATGATTCAATTGCTAAAACATTAACTATTAAATCACCATTAAAACAAACAACAACAACATCAACTACAATATCTGATAGTGTTTGTAAATCTTCCGAATATATGTATCCATCAACATCAATTACAAATCAAAATCTTTATCAAACAATGCCTAATTCAGCAGCAGCTGATGCAGCAGCTGCTATTTTTCAAGCATATTCACAATTTAATAATCGAACAACATCTATACCTTCAATGATTAATCAACAAACAAATATTCAACCACAGCAACAAATTCGAAAATAGTACTAAATACATATATGAACTTATTTTTTTTTGTCTCTTTGTTTTTTTTTTTTTTTTGTTTATTAAAAGTTGATTATTATTAGAAAAAAGAAATTATCTATCTCGTGTTTAACTAAACAAAAAATAAAAGCAAAGATTCATAATCGAACTTTATATATAAAAAAAAAACAAAACATATTTTATTTGATTTATTCAAACAAAGAAATTAATTAGGCAACTATTTTAACTGATTAATATTTTTCTCACATCAATACAACTTAATCATATGTTATCAATAATGAAAAACTCAAATAATGGCTATCAAATATCGGCTTTAAATGCGATTATTATATTTTTCTAGAATATCGATTTTCTAGACGAACAAATTTTTTCACGACTATTTTTTATCTATCGAAGATTGTAGAGCAATACGAATTACCTAGAAAACAATGGCATTTTCTTTTTTGCTTGGGGAAATCGAAAAAAATTAAAGTCAAAATAGAGAAAATTTGAGCCACAATCAAGTATTTTTTCAACTACTAGGATTTCTGTTTAGTTGAGAATCGAGTTTTTTTAATTAGGTGAATATTTCGAGATTTCTTGATGTAATAAAAATTTCTAAATGAATATTTTTTTTCTACATGGATATCGTATATCAATCGAATCATTTATTATTGCATTATAGTAAACAGGAGAAACAAGAGACTTCGTGATCATTCAGACTCAGAGAATGTTAGTAAATATCTGGAAATACCTCTAAGTCAATCGAAGTTAAAAAAAGATGAAACTAACGTTTTTCTTTAAATAACTCGGATTAATATTAGTCGGAAGATTTAGTAGAATAACAGTTACCTTTTCGACTTATTCTAAGTTTTTTATTTGACCTGAAAGCTCCTTTTTTGGAAAAGCTTTTTACCAAAAGGTTTCTGGCACTGTAATCTAATGAATATTAAAAGAAAAACTGAGTTTACTTTTAAATCAACTACAATAGATTGAGATAAAAACTGTAGTTAAGTTATAGAGTCAAAAACAGAAAAGTCTTAGCTACAAAATGGATCTAAAAAATTATTTTTGTTCAATCGAAATTGTAACCGAGAAAGATGATTTTCTTTGCTATGGGGTACAAAAAAGCTATGACTTTTTTTTTTTTTACTTTCTTGCTTAAAAACTTCATATCAACAGTAGCAAAAACACTTGACGACGTTAATGATAAGTGTGATGGACAATAGATAGCTTTTTAGAACAAAAAAATTATTAAAATCCGCTGAGTAGAATTTGAGATATAAGCGTTTTAGTGTTCGCAACTTAACGGTACAAAATGAGCGTAATTCATCCAAATGTGACAATACTTCATACAAATATTTATCTGATAAAATTATTATAATTTCGTGACCAAATAATCTTTTATCAAGTATACGACGTTTATGTCTGTCTATATGATTGTAGTCAACATAGTTTCAGTTATATTTTGAGAAATTTTTCTAAATAGTTCATCATAGAATGAAAAATATAGTTAACAGTTTCTCTTGCAGTATTGAAATATTCCAAAACGACTTTTGACAAAACTCTTCTATTAACAAAATATTCTTTTCAGTCAACAGAAAAAGACGAAAAAAATAGGTAAATTTTGAGATAGCTTAGTTGCTGAGATAATAACAAAACAAGTAGAATAGTTTGCATAATGATAAAATAATCAACGATGATCTTGTATGTAGTGCTGCAAATCTACGTATAGATTCAATTATTTTCTTACTTATTCTATGTTCATAAAACATGGTCTTATTTAATTCATTGTTCGTTTTAATTTTCAGAAAAAAAAATCTTTTCCTTACTTGTTTGTTCAAATAAATATCAACGTTGTTACATTTTTTAGTACTACTGATATTGAACATTTACTTTTTGTCTTTTTCTTTTTTATATATAATGTTTATTACTGTAGTATTAAAAAATTTGATTCTATGTTGTTATGTTTTCATGAAATGTATGATGTGCTTGATAATCAAAATCTACTGCGATAAAAAAAATTGACTATTGACTTCTTTTCATATATTTAATAAATGAATTATTCTTTAATAGAAAAACCGAAAGTAGAGCTGAGAAAAAGGAACTCGTTTGCAAAGTCATTTTTGCAAACTACAGTTTTTAAAGTAAGGGAATTGAAAGCAGCGATTTTCATCTGAGCATTAGTTATAAATAAGACTTTTGCCAAAATTATTTATTGTAACTAAGACCGATCGAAATATGTTGATGGTTTTCGCAAGACAAACAGACTTTCAATATGTAAAAATGTCTTATTATCTTTTTTTGCCATCGTAATGAATGCATTAAAGAATTTACAAATGTGTCGGAAAATCTGATCATCATTTTGAAAAAAAAAACAATGAAATGAAAGACAAATTCTAAGATAAAATATTGTTTTTTTTTGATTTAATTAAATTTTCTTTAATTTATTCAAATCTTGGATAAACATTCAAAAAAATTTAACAAAAAAAAAAAACTATTCAGTTCAGTGTAATAAAAACAGTTGAAATGAAAATAAAGTTTGAGTATGTTTTTTATTCTTATGAAATCTATAATTTATAGAAGACATAATTGTTTTTCAAGGTTAAATTTAAGGCCTTTAGGACATGATAATTGTTGAAGTAAATAATCTATAAATAAATAATTTAAATATAAAAAAAAAAAAAACAATTAAAAATAAAATCTATGCGAACCATTATTAGAAGGTGTACACGAGAAATATTTTCCTTGATTTCTCATATATTCATCAATAAAATATCCCGATGATCGGCAACGAAAATATTCTAAAAATTAAAATAAAAACAAACGTTTTTTTTTTTTTTTTGAAAATCAAATTAAAATAAATGATTCAAACGTTTATCACATCGTGTACTAGACCATCCTGGTTTACATTGACAAAAAAAAAAATTAGAAGATCCAACCTGACGTTGTTGACAAACACCTCCATTGAAACAATATGATGATGTACAAGAACCTGCTATAGCTTGACACAAATATATAATAATTTATATTATAAAAATCTATTGAATTATTTATTTATTCGATTTTACTTTGTGTTTCACAATAAACTCCATCATAACCTGCTCGACAAAGACATTTTGATTGATATATTGTTGCTCCTTCAAATATGGGTCGAATAGCACATACACCCTTTGACATACATTGAATTCTATCACACAATTGACTATCTTTAACATTTTTAGTTTTAGTTTTTTTTCAAAATAAGAAAAATCAAAAAAATAATGTAAATACCTGCTCGAGTTTCACATCTACTACCTGTAAAACCACTTGGGCAATTACATAGATTTGTCGTTGGATCTCTAACACCGCCATTCTCGCATCTAACTAGAGGTGGAGGTGTAACGACAATATTATCTAAAATAATAGAAAAGAATTTATTTTTGAAAAAATATCATTAAAAATATACCACATGGATTTGTTGTATGTATAAATTCTCCTTGTTCGTTTCTACATATACATGAAAAAGATTGATTTATATCATTACATGCAACAACTGATGGTCCATCACCACATGGATTTGGATCACGATTACAGATTCCTTTGAAAACAAAATAAATAATACATTTAAATAATTAACAAGAAAAAGAAATCAGTAAAAACTGACGACAAGGTCTATTATGTGTTGTTGAACCATCTGGACATGAACAAATAAATTCATCATTAACAGCATCAAAACAATGATAACCATTTATTGGTAAAAAATATGAACCATGTAAACCTGGAAGATCCAATTTACATGGATTTGAACCATCATTACAAACTAAATAAAATAATTTATTTCAAATTATATTTTATGTTTAATTTACATATGCCAGATGAAATTCTAACAGAAACAAATAAAAGTAAAATGACGATGAGCATGTTTTTTTTTTCTATCGTTTTATGAAATGATTAGCTGTTATAAAGAAGCTCTTTATATAGAAGATATTGGCACGAGGTTTTATTCTACTATAATGAGAAATCGTAAAAAGGGTTTGTACACTATTGTCTATTATACAAAATAATCGAAAAAGACCTTGAAAATAAATTGATCTTAAAGACGTCTATTTTCTTGAATAATAAACATATTTTGTTTCATATTCATCCTTTTGACAATATTTAATGTCTCACTACCTTCAAAATCTTCATCGTACGTACTTTTTTTTTTATTTAATCGCTGCATTGATTAACAAAAAATAATTCTACTAAAAATATTGTTTTGTTGTTAACAACTAAGCCTCATTCTTTATGTTTTAATCTTGAAGAATTCGTTCCATTATTTGACTAGATCATTTTCATTGGTATAAACATTTTATTATTAGATTCTCAATATTCTTACAATAATTACGAAGACAACAAACAATTATCTTGAAAAGATATAATTTAAGAAAATAACAAAAAAAAAGATCATGTCACTTTTCACAAAATGTTCATTGAGATGACATAAAAACTATTAAATAAAAAGAAAAATCGTCAATTTCGTTTGATTCTCTTCCAGATCCAATAGGAAATACATTTTGTTAAAGATTTTTGAGCTCCGTTCAAACGTTATTTTTGTTTTTTACTCATTTTTTTCTGTTTGTTTTCACTCATAGACAAAACCAGATTGAGAATCAAAATTTCAATAATTATCTTAAAACTATGTCAATAAAATCAATCTTCATTTATATATCATTTCTAACATTTTTTTATAAAAATCAATGAAAAAAAAAAGACATGCAACCGGTTTGTCTGGAACCTATTTTGAAAAAGAAAAGGAACACCACTGTGTAGCCTTTACTTCACAAGGATTTTTGTTTTGTTTTTATAAATGAAGCAAAACAAGAAACTACAGAGAATCCAAATAAAATTATGAATTTGTATTCTTTTATTATTTAATTTAAGAAAAAATTTTGAGATGAAAAATATAGATAAAGATTTATGATTAATAATATTAGATTATTTATATTAAGCATAATATATTATGTTTTTAATCTTTATCAATAATACACAAAAATATGTCAATCATTTTTTTTCTAAGAATTAAAGAGAAAAAAATTGATTTTTTTGTCATTTGTTTCATTTTTTTAATATTGTTCTTAAATTTGAATAGAAAGAAAAATAGAAGTTTTTTGTTTTAAATTGATATTGAAATGAATATTTTGACCAACAAGAACTAAGTTGACAAACAGAAAAGAAAAACTTAAAACATTTTTTGCATATACAAAACTAATTATTTGCATAATATGAAAGAAAATTCTTGTAAAATACTTAATTATATCTTTATGTAGAATTTGAAAAAAGATTTTCATGAAGAAAATGTTAAATGATTCGATTTTCTATCTGTGAAAAAATGTCTTAACGATAATCTTATTAAATATTTATTAATAAAACAAACACGATGGAAAGAAAAGCGATATTCTGTTTATTCATCGCTGATGGGTAAGTGAGTACTGACTAGATTCTTTTCAACTATTTTATGCCATTCTCTTCTTTTTTTTCTCCTTGTCGACATCATGCTATATGCAGCAGCAGCTGAAAACGAAGAAACTCTTTTCCATTTATTTGTCAATAAATAGACATGAGAAAAAAAAGTTCTTTCTTTTTATTCTATTTTCTTTTTTTTTTGACTGTCGATTTTTATTCCGAAATGTTTTATATTATTATTTCATAGAACTTTAAATAATATGTTTTTTTTTTCGATAAATAAATAAGAAAGCAAAATATTAATTTATTTATTATCGAAATAATTAAATATCTATCTTGAATAATTATTCAAATCAAGATTGAATTTTATTTCTCAAAAACACATACATGGATAAAAATACATATCTTAATAAATCTATGTGTATATACAAATGATGGCATTAACCACTTTAAATAAAATGAGGAACATACATAATTACATATGTGAGTAAATACGAAAGCTCTGATTTGGTGAGTAGATCGGAAAAAGAAAAAATAAGCAACTTTCCATAGAAAAAACATCAAGATTTTTTTTTCCATGGGCATACTAAATAAAAGAATAGAGAAAAAAAGAATAATTGCTAACGAGACAGAATATCTTCATCATCATCATCTTGTTCTTTCTCTTTGACAAGATACTTGTTTCTTTGTCAGTTCTTCGAATAAGTCATTCAATTGTATTTGGACATATTTTTAGAAAAACAAGATTTTTTAATCATTATTAATATTCATGCCTTCTTTTTATTGTAAGTTTAGTCAAGTCTTATTGAGAATAAATTTTCAAACAAATCAAATATGAAAATCTTCTACTAGTTAACAAATATTTGAAGAATTATATTATATTTTCATCAATAATATATACTAATGTGCTTTAATAAATGTAAATCTGTAAAGATAAAACTAAATATTTTTTTCTAAAAAAAAAATAAAAATTTATTATTAATATTTTTATTTTAAGATAAAATAAAGAAGAAAACATGAATAAAATTCATTGTTCAACAATCAATAATGAATCATTATCTCATTATATAATTATAAATGAAATGGTATCAAAAACAGGATGTACACATGAACAAGCTGAACAATTTTTAATATCAACTAAATGGAGACTTCAGGTTTTAATAATAAACAAAATAGATTAAAATTTTTTTTTTCTTTTTTATTTAATATTTAAGGCAGCTATTGAATTATTTTTCAATGAACGAACAATACCAATTCCATGTTGCAAGTTTTCAGAAGTAAATATACGAATATAATTGATTAGTTTAATAGAATATTATTTTAATATGTTTTAGTTATTGGCACCAGCTAATACACCAGTAACTCCACCAAATTTTCCTGAAACTCTTCTTTCTCTTGGAAAATTATCAACTTCAGAAAATCTTCCAAATGATAATCAAATAACATCAACAACAAATTAATCATAACTAATCAATATTAAAATAATTATTAATCATCAAAATCAAATTTTTATCAAATAATTAACGTCAAAAGATATTTTCTCTTTTTACATTTCAAAATAAAATATATTCCTCTATATTTTCATTCATTTACAATTATTTAATTTTTTTTTAATCAATTTATTGATATATCAATTCACAAATCGTACTTTCAACTTTATATTATTTTTTTTTTTTTTATTACTATTAACAATCAATTGTCTTGTCAATCGCCGATAAGAATTCTGTTGTAATTTTATTGCTCTATTCAAATCTATAATTAGATTTCATTGAATCTATTTTGAAAAAAATTTCATAATTGATCTAGATTAATCAATCTAAAGATAAAATTCGATGAATAATTCCGTAATATTCTATTTAATTGTTAAATAAATGAAATAATAGCATAAGATGAAGCATTTAATGTTAATTAATATTTTAATAAGTCAGTGACGAAAAATTCTCATTTTCAACATTGATAATATGTTGTTTTTTCATGGATGAATACATTTATTTCAATCAATATATTAAAGTTTAACACAAAAATACCAGTTACGTCATTATTTCATCTATTTAATTATTAAATAAAATATAATCGAATTTTCTCTTTGAACTCATTAATTTTCACCATTTATGAAATTCTTGTTTTTTTTTTATAGACTCAACAGAATCTAATTATAGATTGGAATAGAGCAATCAAATGTAATCAGAACTCTTATCAACGATTGACGAGAGAATCGATTGTCAATAAAAAACAAAACGTCATCATTGAAAGCACAATATACAAATTAGTGTATACATAAATCAATTCATTTAAATATGTTTTATGATATTTCTTGGCAATTAAAAACTTAATTTTCTTGATAATAAATAATTATCAAAAAAGGTCAATGATTATAATTGTTTTCACTTTTTTCATCATTCGACTTAGCATGAAACGGAAAGTGCTCCAAACATTTTTCTGCTTCTATATTCTATTTATATTCTTAGAAATTTTCTTTTTCTTTACTGCTAAATCCAGCTTTGTGCTAAAAAAAAAGATAATGACCTTCATTTTGTTAAAGAATAATATTCTATAAATAATGAAGCGATTAGCTTTATTATTCAAATTTAAAATTTTGTGAAATCTCAACAATTGACTATGAAAAATCCTCTTGAAAACTAAATCGAACATATTAACAACATGCAATAGGAAAAACTTCTAACAAAATGTCGAAACTTCTTTCGTAATGGCAACATCAAATAAGTCCGTTTTATTTGAAAGAATAAATCTAAGAAAATACAACGAATAAAACATACAAATGATTTATTTTATTTTTGCAGTATCAAATTTCAATATTTTCAACTTTTTTTGATGAAATTATTTATTAAACAATCTTCAAGAGAAGAAATAGTATATTTACAGAGTTTGAACGATCTATTTAAACACCATCAACTGCTAATATGCACATACGAGATCTATTTGAATGTGTTAAAATGGATATACATTTAAGCAATGTTGTTCAATATGACATTGAAGAATTTACTAGAGTTTTATTTCTCTTACACGTTACTCTTTTTAACAAAGATTTGTAATTAGAGATATGCGGAGCCAAATTATAGTTCTGGTATCAGGACAAAAGAAATTGATTCTGTACATCTTTACTTGCGATACAATTAAAAAGTAACAGCAGTTCATCTCACAAAAAGAAACATTATTAAGCGGCGACTCTTCTCCAAGTTTTTTAGTAACTCGAATAAAAGGATGAAAATCGTAGACGATCGATACCTAAAGAGACAGGATGATTTTCATGGCTCAATATTATAATTATTATAGTAATCTCAGGGGCGGCGCGAAGAGGTCAAAGCAGGGGGTACTTTCGAAAAACGGGAGAAAATGTGAAAAAAATCAAATTTTGAGGTAATCGTTGAGCAAAAAAAGCGAAAATATTCAAAACCAGGGGGGTACTCTCTCCCAACCCTCCCCCGCTCGCGCTGCCCCTGTGTAATCTATATGATTTGTCAAACGATGGTCGTTGATGAGCTTATCAAAACTTCATATTTTTCTCAAAGGATATATCTCAACAATTATTTGTTAATTAGCATAATATGAAATTAAATCTATATTAACTATTTTTGATATGAGGCTGTTATTCAAGAATCTCAACTTGAATTAAATCCGATTTTCTTTAAATCTTTTCATGAAATATGAAAGAACAAAGACGATATGAGAGAGAGAGAAAGAAAGAAAAAAATTGGAAATTGAGTAACTAAAGAGATGAAATTTATTTATTACATATTTTAAATTGAAACCGATATAAATCAAAGTTGTCAACTCTAAAAAAAACCTAAGCTTTTAAGTCATGGATATATGATATAAATTTCTGATTTGCAACTCAAACTAAAGTTTATTGTATTCGATTTAAATTATTTTCTTAAGAATTGATTAATCAAATCATTTCGCAGATACATCTAAAATATTTTATTCAAAAGTAAGACATAAACGGCTTTTGAATCTATTTTAATCATCTTTGCAGCTCGCTTTATTTTAATCAATAGCAATTAATTGTTCGATGAAATGTTCATCAATCCATATAGTGAATCGTTCTCGGATGTGCTGAGACAGCTGGTAATGTGTCAATATTATTGTTACGATATTAATATTGTCTTATATGTTCTGTATCCCATTCATTTACTGTGTCGCATTCGTCAACGACCAGCTCTGTTATTGTCTTACTATTATCACGAATGGTAACCGTTTTCCTGCATCGTTATGTCCTCGATCGTACCACCATATTGACAAGGCCACGACACGCTGCGAATTCGAATAAAAGGATTCATCACATGCACCTCCATACCTACCATCGTCGTCTTCTTGAAAGCTATTCAATGTAAGTATAACTGACTCATTTGAAGTGAGTGAGCATTGATATTGATTATAACATACCCCTGACTTACAGTATGTGGACATGTTTTTTGTATTGCAGGCAGTACTAGCAAGAAAATTAATATGTGATGAGCGAAAAAGCTATGTCAAAGGATTATTTTTCTGCCTTTCAAATCACCGGCGAGTGAGCAGTTTCCAGTAGAATCAACTGAAGACGACTCACTACTGCACTCTCTATTCACGGAAATTAGCCATCCGTCGCAGTTATTGTATTTTGTGTACGGATTATCACCACAGTGACTAGACCATAAGCAAGTTACTCGTCGTTATATGATTATAAGTGATTTAGAGGTGCTCACGAAAAGTAAATCAATAACAAAGAGTATCATTCATTGAATAATTTATTATTATTACTAAACAATACGTCAGATCATACTTTAATTGAATAATCATTCACGAATGGCTATGCCAACACTTATAAAAGGCAATCACTTGTATGATTTAAGTATCAAACCACAAAATAGTATGAATTGAAATAGTAGCAAATTCTTGAATTGCTATGCGAGAGAACTAGAATCTGTTTTCGGGTAGATATTGTCTATGATATTTCTACTGCGATATAAAATGTCTTCATACATGTTAAACCTGACAGTTGAATTCAAATATTCAATAATTGAGTGGTACGAAAACACACTAGCTCTCTCGATGTAGGTAACACGAAAATAGATAATTGAATAGTTGAATATCTGTAAAGGTCATCCATAATTAAAGACAACTTTCACAGTTGACACTAGTGACTGTTTCTCACAAAGCATTCTTGTTAACTACTATTCAAAATGCTTCATTAGATACCATTTCACAATTATTATTATTATTCCATCTAGCTATCGAATTGAAATTCCACCTTGTCTTTCATTCTGAGCATTCAGCATAACTGCGATTGTTTCAAGCGGTGGATGCCTAATAGAGTTAAGTCAATGAAAGTTAGGATTAAAAATGTCTGTCACCTATTCGCACCTATATATATATTTATCTATGCATACAGTAATAAAAGAAAAATGATTCAATTACTTAAAAATACTTTACTACAGACAAAAAACTATTTTCATCAATAAGAATACTATTGGAAGACAATAGCATAATGTTTATTATCTATGGGTATTTACATACGCAAGATCACCCAAAAATAAGGGAACATAGAATTCTTTCGATTTCTTCATTGTACATGATTAGTTAGGCATCATATTTTCACCATACACACTAGGTGATCCTAGTCAAATATGTAGCGTATGCTTAGTCTTTGGGTGCAGTAGTTTGTTCCAAAGCGTACAAATAAGCCTTACTCTTTGAGAAATTCAATATTTCTGCAAGGTGAATTTGACTTCCATAGCTTGATTTACTTATCCCGATCCGTGAAATTAATTCCATTGAATTAATTTTAACTTATTTTAGGCTAAATCAGTAAAAAAAAAAGTAATTTAAGTCAAATTGATTTCACAGATAGGAATAAGCAAACAAAAATAAAAAATGACATATCTATTAAATATTTTCCACGTGGCAATAAAAGTGGTGAAAATTGATCAGGCCAAGCGTTTCAACTAACACAACTATAACTCTGAGATATTCTTAGAAGCACTATATGTATTCACATCATTGCCCTGCATGCAGCTTTATCCCCATATTGACAACAATATGTTCGTCAGTAAAAAAGCTTCAAAAATGAGCAAGACAGATGATTTTTGTGACAATCGATTATCCTTCGAAAACAATTTTAGCCTGCTCGAAACTTTTCACTGAATGTATTTTATATTAATAGAATGTGGTTAAAGAACACACGTGAGTTATAGATTTTAGCCCGAAAGGGGCTGCACTGAGAAGTTTTTCTATTGAGACTAAATAAAGACAATTTTGTAGATCTGTACTAATACAATGAGAGAAGCATTTGCGATTTATCAAGATTTTAGAAAATTAAAGGTGTCCTCAATTTTTAAAATACTAACAATATTTTATTTATTAAATGCTTTTTTGAATTGATCTTTATTAAAATCGGTTGAAATTTTTACAATAATTTATGAGTAAAAGTTTTTATATAAATTAAAATAGTAAAATCTAATTTAAATAAACAAAAAACTTTAAAGATTTAAAGAAGATGTTGATGAAATATTTAAAATTTGATTAAAATTTTCATATGAAAATTGATGAGGATTAAACCAGTTTATTCTTCGATGAGAATTTTTTAATTGATGAATTACTTCAATAAAACCTTTATCACCACTAATTATTGTAAATGGAATTGATTTAGGAAGAAGACCATGAAGTTTACCAAACTAATAACTAAATATAAGACATACGAAAAAAATTTCTTCTAGAAAAAATTACAGTAAGAACAAGAGCAAAATCAGCAGCATCATGTCGATTTCCACTTGGACGCATTAATTGAAAATTATTTAAATTTAATAAATTATCATAAACAATATCACTAAAAGAAAAAAGAAAATAAAGAATAACTTTGATTGAATTAACGAAAAACAATATGAATTTTAAAACTTTTTTGGTGGTCTCCATTGAATATTTGAAGCTTGAAAAGCCATAACATAAGTGTGATCAGGTAACTGATTTGTTAAATGTTGAAAAAATCTTGAAAAATTTTCTAAATCAAGAAAAATAATATGTTTCATTGTTGATAAACGTTGAACATTATCAAGTTGTAAACTATCTTCATCTTGATCATTTATATTTATTTGAGATTTTTTATAAAATAGCTCTAAATCAATTGATGATTGACTTTCTTCATCATCTTCATTTTCAATCCAATTTGTTATTAAATTATCTTTTAACAAATTAAAATATAGTTTTTTTTTCTTTGATTTAAAATTATGACGATTTAGAATTCTATTGGATTTTTTTTCACTCTTGTCATTCGATCTTTTTTTCCAAATATTTGTTGAATTCATTCACAAACAACAAACTAATAAATTAAGAAATAAATTAATTTTGTTTTTTCTTTCACTTAGTTACCTTTTTGCATTTAAAACTAAAATAACTAAAGAAATTCCTTTATGTGTTCAACATGAATTTTACCGATATTAATTGTAAAAATTCATTTCAACAAATACATTCTATGTTTTATTCTACTATACAAAAAAATATCTGATAAACATTGATAGTTTAGTAAGTTAATTTAATAATTTGAAAATTTATTATACATATTCATTATTAATCTCTAAAAAGTTTAATATAAGAGAATATAATAATCATAACTAAGTAATTTTGTAATACGATAAAACGATGCTAAAATCATAGAATCATCAACAAAAAAATTATTAGGCAACGACAATAATAATGTCTTAGTCAATTAATTTCTACCTCTATGGATATTTAAGATGATCTCACTTCAACTTGAACTATAATACATGATACTAGTCTTAATCAACAATCAACTATTTATCTTAGTACTTTTTTTTCGTTTTGTGTTTGTCGATAGTATCTTTTGTTATTTATTTCAAAATCTATAATTTTAGATATAGGACAAGGTTCAAATCTGTTAGATTTGATTTTCATAAACAAAGTATTTTGAAAATTTAATTATTAAAACAAAATAAAAATTGAACTTATACGAATAAAATTGATAGAAATATTTGCAAAAACTACAATATTTGATTAATTTTCCTTAAATCGAATCATTACATAAGGTTACAAGATGAATAAAACAATCATGACTCATTCAATATTTTAACGTTAAAAGAACTGAATTCGACATTTGAAAATGCTAAAACAAAATTTTCGTGTTTAGAAATAAATCAGCCTATTTCATATGATCCAAACATAGAAAAAAAACAGCTTGAAATATCCTATGATATACGCTACTGGAAAAATATTGTCTACTTCTACAACATTATTAATTTTTCAGATTAATGTCTCTGTGCACGCAATACTTATTGTCATTTCAATGTAAGAGAATTTAATTTGCAAAGTATTCTTCATGTTATGTATGCGTCTTTTGTTTGATAGAAAAAAAAATGTTCATTGTCTGTGCTTTTAAAGTTAAGAGAATGTTCAGCCGCCGCGGTGGCTCAGTCGGTAGAGCGTCAGTCTCATAATCTGAAGGTCGTGAGTTCGATCCTCACCCGGGGCATTTATTTTTTTCAAAAGCGATATTAAATCAATGTTTTTTTTTATTAATATATATATATTCTCATATTAATAATTAATTCAGTTTTTCTTATTTTTATTTATTTATTGTAAATAACAGTTTCATATAAATAAACAGAAAATTAGATATAAGATCTTCGAATTCAATAATGAATGATCATAATGAACAATTCGTTTGATATTGACTCAATAGACTGATATTAAATCTTTTGCTTTAATGTAGAAATCAAAAAAAACTTTCAGGTGATTTTCAATTATTTGTATAAGACTACATACAGAGTTAATAGTAACTAACTAAAACAATATATTTTCGAGTTGATTAATTTCTATAGCTCTTATTGATAAACATTGAATTTTTCAAAGATCTAATTGAGAAGATAACTTCATCAAAGTTTTTCAATCATTATAACATACGGATTTTCATTCTTTCACAATGAAAAGAAAATCGATGTCATAGAGGTAGTTTAGAATTGAAATAAAGATTTTTAGCTAGAGAAAAGTTAAGAGAAAGGTAATATTTGAAGACTTTCTCTCATTTTAGTCAAAGTTAAGTCTCTCGTAGAATGAAAACAAGTTTTGTTTTATATTCAAAATCTATTTGATTTAACTAGCGAAAGCAAATTATCGAGTCGAAGAAAAATGTTAATTCTATTGTTTAATGTTTTAGCAAGAAGTAGACCTTGTCTTCACTAAAAAGACGTTCAAATAATCTAGGTTTATATGCAACATATAAAATTGTATGATATTTTTTCAATGTAGCGCTGGCGGCACGTGAGAAAAGTTAGCAGCGGATTCGAGTTTTTCTTGCTAACATTCGTTGCTATATCTGTACAAGCTTTCTAAGTGGTTGTCCTAAATGCAGAATTGAATTCTAAAACGAATGGTGATATTTTTGAAACGGATTACCTGAGAAAAATTGAGATTCGAAGCCAAAAATCAGAAAATCTAAGTGACTTCGCTAATAATCTTTCATCGGCTTTGCAGCTATATCTGTTCTAACTCTAAAATCTACTAAGCTTGATAGAGAATTTCCACCTCAATCTAATGGTAATATTTCGAGACGGATCAATCATCGAATACAAGTCTCTGAGTCTAATAATCACTTACGACCACACTCAGTTAATATATCTTACCAACATTCGTTGTCAAGGCTGCACTGACCTTCTATGTGGTTGTGTTAGACGTAGAGTTTCATTATCCATCGAATAGTGATATTTTCAACAAGAGAATTTCAGGATATGAGGGTCTTAGGATCCAAATATCAATTAGCTACTATTGGATCCTTAAAATCCCCATATGACGAATGACTCTCGTTGACAATATTACCATTCAATAGAAAACAAAATCCTGCATCCAACGAAAGCACTTAGAAAGCCAGCACAGTCTTGACAGGGGGAACGTCAGCAAGAAATAAGAGCCGGATGGAGCAGTAAATGGATTGTTGGGCCCAAAAACTTGTATTTGACGATTGATCCTCCTCGGAAATATTACCATTCAATGCAGAATCAAATTCTGTACTCTGTACAACTAATTAGAGAGCTGGCATAAATTTTAGGAACGAATGTTAGCAACAAAAACTCGAATGTGCTGCTAACTTTCCTGGCGTTTCAATTTGAATCTTTTATATTGAAACTCTCTTCGTTATCTATCGTTTATTCAATAGTTTATCACTATTGAACTAAGTCTACTTTTGCAGAAGATTGATGAAATTTGTTCAAAATTTGTTGACATAATCTTAAAATGCTTATTTTCTCAATGAACATCTCAAACTCGGTTTCTTCTAAAATTTAAAATGAGAAAATGACAGAAATTATTAAAATTCTTCACGAAACAGTAAATTATCAAATAACGAATCATATTGATTGTAAATAATCACTTCTGAATACTTTTTACTCTGACTTGTTCTTAACTTGTACCTAACTAACGACAATAGACTAATTCCGAGTATTGGGAATGATGAACTTAAATTATTCGTAATTGACTTATATTTCTGATAGTTTAATTACTTTTGAAGTTAGAGTGTCGTTTTGATTGTAATTAATATAAAGCAAAAAAAAAATTGAATGTTTTATATATTCTCAAATTTTAAAATAGAAATGATTTAAACAAGATATTAATTTATGAATTTTTTCAAATTTATTATAAATCTTATTTCAATAAAATATGAAAATACATAGAAGCATTGTTTCATTCTAATAAACAATAAAAACGAATGAAATGTCTATGAAAACTAAAAAAGAAAGTTGTTTTGGTTCATTTCAATGTAATAAAATAATTTAGGTTTGAATACATATCATTTCGCGTCCAATACCTTTCAATATAAGTGATCGAAATTCATCATAAGTTAAATGTCCATCAGTATTAAAATCACATTTTCTAATGTAGTTTTTCAAAGTATCCATAGTTGCATATTCATTAATAATTGGTAAAAAACCAGCTAAATTATCAATATCGATTGAACCAGATTGATTTTTATCCAAAATTTGAAATAATATTTCTAATTGAGTATTTTGATAATATCCCAACATAAATGGACGTAAAATAAGAATAAAATCATCAAATGATAATGCATTATGATGGTGACGAGTTAATATATTGTAATCTTGTCGTTTTATTGTAGCATCATATACTCGACTACGTTTTTCTCTTTTACTAGTCATACCAACAGATACAGTTTCATATGTAAATTCTTCAAATTCATATTGAATTTCACTAATTGCGCCAGAATCACGGATTATCGTTTCTGTTACAGTGAATTCAAGATTCATTTCAAATTTTTCAAATGAAATATCTGAAGTCGTATCAGATATTTATATAAAAAAGCTTTTATCTTTATCAAACATGAGTCAAAACATCGAATATTTGACTGTAAAAAAACAATCACATAAATATAAAAGAAGAAATCTCATAAAATCGAATGAAAGAATAATTATAACTCTAGTTGAATTTTTTCCTGAGGTTATCAAGGCCGCCAGGAGTTTTTTATTGTTCATTTTTTATGACTCTTTCTTGACAAAACATGTGTAATTGATTTATACCTATTATATTTCAAGTACTTAAAGATTGTACAACAATTATAAAAGACGTTTTTTGAAATCATCATTATTCAGAATGTATTCTAAATAAACTTTGTCAGGTGAAACATTTCAGCATTGGTTTTCAAACATAATAATTATTCATTTTGATATTTTACTTTTTATAATATTTTATTTTAAACTAAATTTAGAGAAAAACTTTTTAAACCATAATAAACTTGAAAGGAAAATTTTTTCGTTTATTTTATCAGGTGAAACATTTCATTAGTAGATTTTTTTTTTTTTGAAGGATATTTATTTGTCAAACTCGATATTATATAAACAATATCTATGTACAACAAGAAAATAAATAACTATGTCAAGAAGTTGTCAATAAATATGTTTTCTATGTAGACTCATATATTCTATTCATAGGCTCTTTCCGCTTTTGTGATTCTTGTTATTTGTTGAAAAGTTACCTTGAACTTCAAAAGATAAAAAATTGTCAAATCGGTTAACATGATTTTAAATATTGGTGATTGGTCATATATGAATTTACATATAATATCTTATACTATGTATCTATAAAAACAAGAATACAAATCATTACCGACAGTGATAGTAAGTGATCAGGTTTTTTCAATATTTTGTCCTTCCTGGTTTTGGACACTATTCATGTATAAAAGTTTCAATTCATTTGAAATTCATAGATATTGAAAACTTCTTAAATAAACTATACTGAGAGAGATTATTATTTTTTATACTTAAGATACTTTGACATCCACGAAAATCTTTACTTTACGAAGGATTTAGTACGTTACAATTTATTATGTCGTGCATCTGAAGGACAGTTGTTCTTCGTCCTTCATCTTTGAAGTAAATAAGAAATTCACTCACTTTTTGACAGTAAATTCTAGAAGCTTCATCTAGCGATAGCTATAAAATTCTTCTTGCTTCTGTTAAACTCAATAATATATGACTATCAATGTTGATTATTTTGTCATAAAACTTTTTATGTTAATATTTAAGAGCAGCCGTTAAACCACAATAGTATTTACGACTTTTTCAGCCGCAAAAATGTAACCTCTGAAATATTGAAAGAATATTTGCTTTTTTTTGTAACTTTCTCACATTTTTAAAACAAAACACATTTCGAAGTGTACCATGACAATTATGTTTCTTTAGATTTTTCCTAATATTCTGATAAAACACTACGAGTTTTATCAAGAAAATCCCATTCAACAAGTGCTTTTGTTTTTAATGCAAAAGAATATTACTATTTTGTTAGAAAACATAAAAGTCTATTCGAACACCAATGAATATTTAGAACGAATTGTTTTTATTTTAAAGTTTTGAACGTCATTATAAAAATCAATAGTCTCAATTAGTTATTCAATGAGTATTTCGAATTAGTCCATTCTAGCTGATGATGATGTTCGACGATTCTAATAATGCCAAATGAATTCATAAACGAAAACGACTCTGGATCAAATATCATCTGTTCTATGTCTAACATTTTATTGTAATTAATTAGGTCGGTGTGCAGAGGAAAACATCTATACTCACATCTGCAAAACAAATTGTTAACGAAAAAAATTGACCAAAATATAAATAATCAGCATTTTAACATACGATTTTCAGCTTCTCGTAAAGAACGAAATTCGAGATCAAACTCTCAGATTTACTTTTCTGATAGATCAAGAACTTAATATTAAACCATTGGATGAGCAATTTTCGAGAGAATCGAAAATAAAAAAGATTTTTATTTTCAATAGATGTGTCAATATAGATCTATCGAAACTCACCGAATATAGGTGGCAAAGCAAATTTAAACATAGATATCTACCTGTACTTTTCATCGAGTAATGAAATTAAATATGAACTATTTTTCTTCTATGCAAATTACTTTTTCAATTCATAAGATTGATAAGAATTATTTTGATGATTGTATATATATTTTCGCCTTCAGCTTTTAGCTATTCAAATTTCAAAAGTATATTTTTTTAACAAACGAAAAAAAAAATAATCTTTTCACAAATTTTATAATGTCACTAATCAATAGAACTCAATATCTTCATCAAGCATGCGACAGAGTTTCTATCATGACTTAAATTAATGAATGATAAAAAACGCCTAAAAATAATGTGATGAAGTTGAATTATATGTCGAACATAATTAATTTCCTAAAGAAGATTCTAAACAAAGTTAAATCCTAGGTCAATATCAGATTTTCAAAAATTTTCACATTATCAATATTAGAGCATGCAGTTAAAACTAAAGAATGTCCCAAAAGTTTCGACTCCTCCCCGTAAGCTGATATTATTGATACAAATGTAAATGTAGATAGTTTATTGAAATACTTAGTTTTGCAGAGCGAGATTAAAGGTATTGTCTGCAAAGAAGGTAGCTTGAATTTCATCGAAATCATGAAAATTTATAGTTACTTTATTAAGCATGATTAAGCATTTCACATCTTATATTTTTTGGCACAAATGAAAATATTCTAGGCTTGCATAAGCGATTTAAGTTGTGTTAGAAAACAATTATTTTGCTTCAAATGTCACAAGCACATCTTATTTTTTCAAAAAATGTAAGATACAGATTGCTTAGTTATGCTCAATAAAAGAACTATAAAATTTCATGATCTCATCTGCAATTGACCTATTTTCTTTGCAGATGATAGATTTAATCTTGCTCTACAAAAGTGTGTATGTCAATTAGGCATTTATATATCTATTTGTATAAATAATGTCAGTTTATGTGGAGAAGTTGAAACTTTTGAGACACTCTTTATTATAGTAATAACTTTGGTTCCATCATAGCACTCGATAGTTCAATGGGTGTTGACATATCGCAATATGTTCGACAAACCGAACAACAGTACCAGATAAGACACTGTATTCAAGTGCTCGATATTCGATGGCTACCGAGGAGTATGAAATTTCTACAGAATGAACAAAAACAATGAATTTTTTTTGTCTTCGACTATTCTTCGTATTCATTATTAGCTTTTCAAAATCTAATCAAGTAGTTCATTAGCGCTACTGAGTGAAAATAGAAACAACCTATCTATATAGTCGTTAATTGAAGTTTAGTTACTATATGTATGAATTCATGAGGAAACATTTTTTCTGTCTCGAGATGTTTTTATTCTGTTTCACATGTACACTTCATTAAAATATTTAGTCAAATTATGTTAAATAATCGTTATTAACAAGCGTGATCGAACTATTTGTTACAGCCATGCTACTCATATACCTTAACATCATTCTGGATATTTGCATCTGTTTTTTTCTCTCATAGTTTCTTTTCGGTGTTTTTTTGTCTTTTTCGATCTCTCTTTCTTTTTTTTTTTATTAATCAGTTCTGTGTGCGAGAGCATAGAGAAAGGTTCAATAAAGGAACCTTCTAACCCTACTTGTTGATAGCTATAATATTTTTACTAATGATGACAAATTATTTTTAAATAATTTATTAGATAATCTTTTTATAATTCTATAATTGATTGTTATAGAATAGCACATATGACAAGTTCTCTTTGAAAATATGAAAATATAATTTGTAATTATATTTTCTATAATAATAATACAAACCATTTATTTAATAAATGGACATAACATATTTAGAATAGGATGTCGTTTGTATGAAATTTTAATATTCATTTTGAATACGTTGAGTAAAAAATTTGCTATTGTGAAATGTAAAACACAACAAAATTGGTTTCTTTAAATTTGTTTCGATAGTTTTCATAATGGAAAAAGATCTAATATGAAAAGACGAAAATTTAATTCATCAGTGAAAACTTCAATGATAGAGTAACGTTTCGTTAAAGGAAAAGCAAAAACAAATAAACATTTTTTTGAAAGTGAATGTCTTCAATTATTGAGAGTAACATAATAAATGCATAAAATCGATTGACTGCAATCGAATAGATAGATAAGGTTTTTCTATATTTATCGCCTATATTGATTAAAGGGTACTGACTGTATGCTATTGCGTTACTTGTTATGATAAGGTGATAAATATACAAATATTATCAATGAGTAAATATAAGAATGAAAGAAAGAAAAAAGTAAGCCATTTATTCATTTTTTTTTAGATGAAAAATCTATTTTAAGTGATGTTAGTTTTACGTCGAGCACTCTCTACAGCTATTTCTTATGCTGCTAAACCTTTAATTAGTGTTGATCTTAATCGATCACCAACAGATCAATTGATTCCTCTTCATAATCGTTGGCATCCAGATATTCCAAGTGTTGTATCGATTCGTCGAAACGATGTTTTTCGTATTGAATGTGTTGATTGGACTGGAGGACAAATTCAAAATAATGATTCAGCTGATGATGTTAAAAATGTTGATTTAACACGTATTCATTATTTATCAGGTCCAATTGAAGTTGAAGGTGCTTCTCCTGGTGATATTCTTGTTGTTGATATTCTTGATGTAGGTCCTCTTTCATCATCTATGTGGGGTTTTACAGGAATTTTCGATAAAAATAATGGAGGAGGATTTTTAAGTGACATTTACCCTAATGCACATAAAGCTATTTGGGATTTTTCTGGAATTTATGCAACAAGTCGACATATAAAAAACGTTCGATTTGCTGGACTTACTCATCCAGGTAATAGAATTTTGTTTTATTTTATTTTATTTTTTGGTTTTATATATTAAATGATTAAAAAAAGGTATTATTGGTTGTGCTCCATCACATGAACTTTTATCTCGATGGAATAAGCGTGAACAAGATTTAATT